AAGGAAAAGTAATATAAAATGGCAACAAAACCACTAATGTACCTTGATGTTTTGATGCGTGAATGACCGAAGGATGCTTGTAATTGTTTTTTTATGGCACACGGGCTTTGAATTAATTTGGGAGGTTCACTTTTATTATTATTATTATTATTATTATTATTATTATTATTATTATTATTATTATTATTATTATTATTATTATTATTGTTATTATTATTTACCGGCTTTTTCAAGGTCTGTTGTTTTTCTCTTTTACTTGAACCTTGGGAGACCTGTTATTGACTCAAAAACTGCGCTTTTTAATTGGTTTTGTGGACGTTTGAGGCGCGATGACATGAATTGGAGGTAATGCCCTATTTGTGACTTCCCAATATACTCTTAATATTTCAAGAATGAGGTTTACATTATTTTTTCACTGACATGTGCATTTTCTTTTAAGGGGTATAAAAAAAGATGGTATTGGGGTCAGATTATTACGAGGCAAATGGACACTGAGGTAAGCATCAATATGTCATTTGAAGATTTTTTGCCTTATTAATAATAGATAATTTTACCTTTTGGAATAATTTTGCATTGGCCTGAAGGAGAATAAATAGATATGGGAAAAAAAAATGTAAAATAATATTTGGATTGGCAGCCTTTTTTTTTTTTTTTAATATTTTTTTAAAAATCTTTTTATTTATTAAAATATTATTATTATTATTATTTATTTTTTTATTTTTATTTTTTTGATTTGTGTGAAATAATGAATTTTTTATCTCTTTTTCTTCCGTTTGCAAATTTTATTTCCTAACTTTATAAGTTTAATATAATTATGAATCAATCTCGATCAGGGATGAGCGATGAAAATTTTGACCCATCGCTGATAGATGATAACAGGACCAATGAGGCCGCCGGATCTTATGACAACGATCAGCACGATACAGAAGAGATCTCTGATGATGAGGAAGAAATGTTAATGGAAAGTCCTTCTACTGATCTTGTTAAGGACATCATGAAGCGTTTGTTGAAGGTGCAAAAACAAATAAAGTCGTTAACACACAAAATCGAGAATGTTTTGAATGTGAATTCTTTAGATTTACATCCATTAGGTGTAAATAACGAAAATGACATTGAAGGCACAATATTACTGTTAATAAAATATGATGAACTTCATCTTTTTCTCTGGGGGCGTATGGCTAAATTGCTTCACGAAGAACACCAGCAATGTGCCGATGTTTACACTGATACGTTGAACTTGCATGATCGTGTGCCATTTGAGTCTCTTACTTATACAATTCATCATAACACTGTATTTTGTGAATACATGGGGGAATTGATAAATATCACTATAGACCACACAGCCAACCATTCTGATGGTGAAGGCGAACACTTGAGACAGAATTGGGCTAAGCACATCAGGAGCATGGAGAAATCTCAGATTCTTGCCACTTATACCGCATTACTGGTTGTGGAAGGTTCACGCGAGAGTTTTTTGGATCCTTTTTCTACTTATGACCTTTGCAAGATAATTGTTGAGGAGAAAATTCGTAGAAAACGACTGTTGGCACTATCATTATTGTTTAGCATGCTTGAGCAAGACGATCAAGCAATGGGTGAAACTCTTAATCAGCAACTCCCTCAGATTTTGTTACAGAGGGTCAGACATCTTGTACATCGAATTTTTGGTTATCCTGAGAAACAGAATGTAATGTTTTCTCGAGAGCACAGGGGTTCACCATTTAGAGATTATTCTACTTTAATACACAGCAACTCTAATTCTCCTTTTAGCTCGCGAAGGGCTTCACCAGAGATTGTGAATAGAAATCTAGTTAATGATACAAGAGGGACACCGCTATTAAGTTCAGCATTGGCTTCCCTTCATAATGGCACTTCGTCTTCACACGCCGCGGATAATCAAGGGATCACTTCTGCAGAAGCACAAATGAGGGAATTACCTATAATTAATATGGAGTTTGAAAAACCTTTATTTCAAAGAGTAAAGCATACACGTGATAATCAAGAAAGTGAACTGACGTCGAGGCCAGCAAAGGCAATTAAATTGGAAATAAATGAGCGAGGTCCTGAATGCCAGGAGTCAAATGAAAATTGGGAACCACAAAAAGGGGAGAAAGTAGGTCGAGGCCCCGCATGGAGTTTTGAAAACCAAGCTGAAGCTTGTGATATTGGTGAAGTATTGGGAGTGACAACTACAGAGGAAATATTAGTAAGTTGGGTAAGGAATGTAGATTCAGCTGTGGATAACGATGCTGAGTCTCGTGTTTTTCGTTACAAATACAAAAAGCCTCATGAACAGGTAGTTTCATGGCAACGGTTTTTGAGTATTAAAAGCATGAAATCAGAGGATATTGACTTTAAAATGGAGGAATTCATGCTTAATTGCGCTGTTATAGGAGCTATTTGTCATCAACGAGAAGCCGTACTTCCAGCTCTTCAATTTCAAGTGATTGAATCCATGATACATGTTTTGAATAGTATTGATTTGACTGACGCTGCAACTATGGCTAAAAATGCCGAAAAAAGTACTGAAATGCGAGAAAGGACCCTTTTGAGAATGGAAGAAGAGGATAGAGCTGTGGATGAAGATAAATTAGAAATTCGATTGAGGTGGGATGCAAAGCTTTATATTACGAAGGAGCACTACCGTCGGGTGAGGGAAATCGTGGCGAGAGTAGGCTGGGTATTGAATGGTTTGCTTTCCCATAAGAAATTGGCATTTCTCTTTCTTGAACTAGGTGGATTGAGACAGATTATGACATTGATTAATGCAAACCTAGAGGTTTCGACGACATATGGCTGCTGTATGGTGTTGTCTCAACTCGCGAGAAGTGCTGTGTTGGAAAAGCTCCTTCGAAATCATGGAGATTATTTTGAACCCATAATGAAATTTGTTCTGCATCACTGGAAAAATGCGCCTTGTCACGATGTACAAAGTAGTGCGGGTGGTTTTCTTTTTCAGGCTCTGAGCTTTCCTTGTGTCATTTCATTTTTTGACATCCATGAGGGTCCGCAGTCAACTATGGCTACAATAGAGAGACTATTAAATAACTCAGAAGAACGATTTGACGTTATTTATCCAGGTCTGACTCTTGCCGCGTTAAAGTGTTTTTATGTGTATTTGGTTTCTCATTTGATGCTTTATACGAGAGTTGTTTTTCGAAAGCATCGTTTTTTATCAACTCTAGTGACAAATTCTTCTCAGGGCGTGTCGTTGCCTCGGGATCCAGCAACAGTTGAATGGATTTTGAGTTTTCTTTCTTCTACCTCTGCATCTATTCCTGACGTAACGATTGAAACTGTTCACAGCTTATTGACTCGAGAGAGGCTTGTTGTTTTTCGATCCTTAATCGAAAACGATTTTCACAGACTTTTGCTTCGGTGTACACAATTTTACTTTAATCAGGGCCGTTGGGAGTTACTTGCAGCTTCTTTGAACGTTTTGTGTGTTTTGTCGGTTGTTCCCTTTGTTCGTCCCCTAATTGCGGATGCACAGTATCCGGAGTCTGGAATTGTACACTTGATTATGATATTAAGTGATTTGCCGTCGGCCTCTCGAAACGGGAATACATCTCGTGAATCGCACTTAATTCCATGTGTGGCTACCGCGTTGCAGATCCTATTGCATCTAGCAGTACCTCCTGTGGATAAAAGTGATGAGGCATCCGTAGCTACATTTAATCAAGTCTGTGGCATGATCAGGGCAAACGATGGCGTTCGCACTTTGTTAGAAGTTTTGAAGATTCGAAAGGATGCGGCGATGTCAGCCAAACTTCATTTTTTTCCAGTGGTTGCTCGGGCTCTACAGTTGATGGTAACTCTTCAGCGTTATGCCGATACTCGTCTTCTTTTTGATGCTCTGGATGTGAATTCAGTGGCCAGAGAGTTGTTGAAACAATATGACGATGTTCAAAAGGAATATATCTCTATGATGGGATCTCGTTATACTGCAGGTGATGTACATGCAACAGGTCGTTTCATGGAAAACGTTAAATGTTTTTTGTTTGACAAAGAAAATAAGGAAAATTTAACTGTTTCTGTGGATCCAGTGGAATTGGAAAGAAGACAAGCCATTATTGCTCATTCTTACATCAATTACTCAAGAGAATCATTATTGGAATTAATTTATCGTTATTTGGATTCTGAGGGATTACAAAATGCAGCTTCGGTTTTGCGTCGTGATGCAAATCTTTCTTCAGATTTTTCTCAGTTGCAGCAATCGACGCATGTGAATACAGATGTGACGGCTTTTTCGACGATTGGTGCACCTACTCTTGATGGTATCATACGCTCTTATTTGAGACAGCAACACGAGAAGTGCACTAACCCTATTTCTACTCTTCCTCAATTTGATTTGCGGAAAAACCATGTATATTACCCATTGCCCGCTCCTGTTGAATACACACGGAATACTTTTAACCGTGGACTAGCGCAAAAAATGGGTATTGACTTCTCCTTACGTATGAGAAACAATGAAAATCATTTTCTCTATCGTTATCCAGGGCATTTGTTTGGTATCACAGGTGTTGGTGATGAAATGCAAGGAGACACCATTGCTTTTTGTGATAATGGAGACACATTAATCGTAGGGACATCAGATGGAACCATAGCCCTTTTTGATACATTTCCAGATGATTCCTCTGTGGAAAAGTTGCTGGAACAACATCTTGTTTTTGACGATGATGGCGTATCTGGTGTTTTTGTATCTGATGACGGGGATATGTTTGCGGTAGTTAGTACCGACTGCAAAGTAGCTGTTATGCGGCGTGATAGTCTTCCAGTTGTTAAATACTCTGTTGAGGGTAGTCGTGCTGCGCGGTTTTCTAATTCCAATAAGTTTCTACTGACAACATGTGATGAACGTCACACATGCCGTCTGTATGATATCTCGGCTCAACAGGAG